AATTACCTGTGTACAAAAAAGCGACCCATATCTTCTATTGATTTTCGATATTGTTCCTGGAACGTGTCACAACTACGCAAAGAAATACCCATGGCGGTTTCTAAAAGTACATTTAGCACAGCTTTATCGTACTAAACATTTTGCATAGAGATTTTGAACATTACATATATTCGGTTATTGCATATTTATTGTGTCATGTATAATATAGCAACATCGATGTGTTACCTTCGAATAATAAAATCTGTATTGAGTATAATTGTTTGTATAAGTGGATATTCTTACACAATATGACAGAAAATATGATAATTTACCGCATATTGCATTTAGTGTGTGCTCGCTAAGTAATGGGACTAAATCTTGTATAACTGTTCCTTCACATTCTTTCAGAGATGTTACCATATGGTTGCTTTCTTCGACAAAAACGTCAACGTATTGTCGCAGCATATTAAAATGAAATGTTGGCGTTAATATTTTTCTTCGACTGTACCATTTGCTTCCTTAAAAAAACAAGATCATATATAATAAAACACTAAAAATCACGTCCGAAACATATTGGTCATCTCATACTATTTGTAGTATAAATATTGTTAAAAAAGTTTACATTAATTTGGGGGTGTTACAGTAAATAATATAATGTATTATTATATAATATTTAATTAAAGTAGTAAGTAAAATTTACAGTCATGGTACTGGAGGTATATTACCGTTGCTAGTAAGAAGTCCATCGTTAAGCCACGGACGTAACATGTCGTACATTTCACTTTTTTTGATATGTTTTGTACTGCTTAAAATTTTCTAAAAATACAGAAAGTAAGATAAACTATAATAAAAATATTATGCTTCTCTAAGTGTATTTTTAACACACAAAGAAGTTTTTTTTAAATATTTTATTTCATAAGTATATTTTCGAGTATGAATAATTATATCTTTTTAATACTAAATGATAACACTAATTCTTAAGTGAAATCGACAGATTGACAGTGTACAATTGCGGAAAAGGTATATTTATGCTATTTTAATACTTCTAAATCGTCTGGATGACGAATGGATACACCATTTCTGAAACCTATCCAGATTTTTATAACAGGATAGTTAATGTTCGCGTAAAAACGTAGAAGGTGCCATATATCTTCTGAAAAATATATTAATTTTAACAGATAATATTGTGGCAAAAGTGCAATGTGTAAACAGTGCAGATGTTTTTTAAATTTTAATTTGTGTAAAAAGAAGCACATTATACTTACCTTGTGAAGCTTGAACTAAAAGTGCCGAGCCAAAAACTGGAATACCAGGTGGACCTGGTATAAGATCGATAAGTCGCCCATTTCTTGTACGGTGTAAATAAAAATCATACATTATTGTAAAAACAATCAACAATAATATTATTGTTATTATCATGTTTTGTAGTATAAAAAGAAGTTTGTTTTGATTTGAGTAGATTTGAAGTACTTCAAAGTGTGTTGTAGTTGTAAGTTTTTTTCTGGTTTTTCGAGAATGAAGTATGGTAACTTTTCTTTCTTTTCACTCTGTGCTTGATCTTTGTTTTAAAAATGGTGATTTTAATATAAAGCACTGTCAGTTGCGCATGACTTTTTGACGCACATTACAAGTTACAACAAATGTTTATACACTTTAACATCGGTTTTAGAACTAAACGTAAAACCACTATATTATTTGACTGCACTTTATCAAAGAGAGGTTAGATAGATACTGCAAATACTATGCCAGTATATATATACATATATATATATGCCAGTGTATTCTGTTTCTTTTTTTCTCTTTATCAGTTGGACGGCAGAAAGAAACTTTGACCGAAGTTGAGATATGTACTTCACAATGAGTAAGTGTATATAGAACAAAAAAAAAATAAGTTTATAATATGTATAGATATTACGATCACTGGCAGAAAGAGTTTTTTGTGATTTCTTCTTCACTTATTTGTGTAAGTATCGTTTGACGTAAAGTAATGTAAATGAAACGCGGTCAAGGTTTGTCAGAGAACTGATAATTAATCATCAACACAATCACAAATAATAACTATGTACATACATGTTACATTTTGACATCTTACTGTATACATTTATGATAGTACAGATGATTTTTGTTTCCTGAATAAATCAAAATGTCAGTACTATTTTTATCGAGTTTGTGATTGTTTTATAAAAGTTTCATAATACTCAAGAATTATTTGTGTTTTTAATGAATGCCGTTTCGGTTATTTATCTGCTTTATCTGTTTAAATGACTCTAATAAGCGTAATTTCATAATTTTAGTATTTAATGTGCTTTATTTTGTCATCTTGTTATTCTTGTTATGGTAGTGGACTCTTAAATATCAGTAATAGCAAAAAGTTTTTCTCAGCTTTAAATTTTGCAGCAGCTAGAACATCTTTTAGTCTCATTTTTTTGAGATGTGTTTGTATATTGTCAAAGTTTATTTATTAAATTTGAAGCAACTTGCATATTTATGCAATACGTTTTAATATTACAAATAGGGGAGACCGGGACTAGGTGTGACACGGAGTTAGTTGTTAAACTGCTATTATCTTGCTTACTAAATCGTGGAACATATTCTTTTTTATATTGTAAGTTGCTAGTATTGTTTTAATAACGTGTACGAAATAGGTTTTCTTATTAACATGATATATGATATTTTCGAGCACTTTTGTAAAACTGAACATAGCAAGTAGATTTTTTTGATCTCGATTGGTTTGTAATTTTATTGATTTTAAAATGTCTAATTCACTTTTTTATCTTAGGTATAAGACAAGTGGTAGTTTTAAATAACTTTTCTTATATTTATTTAATCATCATTGCATTGCAGTTTATAAATATATCTTTTATTTAAAACGAACGTTTGGGGTAAGTTGTCACACGGTGAGTATGCGTGAGAAAGTAATCGCCGTGCGTAGGATGCGTCGCGCTATATAACTTTAACAAAAACTTTGTCAATGGGAGAGGGTGTATTATTATTTGAAATGAACTGAAGATTGTACGTTATAGTTCGGTAATGTAAGAAAATTTCAGAAAAGAACATATGTGAAAATATGATTTGTACAAGTGGGGTATGCTAAGCCAAAAAAGATTTTTATTAGTGATTTTCAAGAAGAACAACTAGGTAATTATATATTACGTGCTTCAGATATTAACTGTGATCTTACACCCAAGAAAATTAGTAGTTTGGCTTATGTGACAACTAATCCTGGATACGGGGCACGGTGACAAATTTGCACGTGTTTAACAGTAAATAACTTTGTTTGTATAAAGATATACATAAATATTTTTTTTTTTGTAAAGCTAAAAGATGTGACTATTATGTAATGTACTCAATGTTACATAATATTACATAATATAGTGTGCAGTTTGGTATTTTTAATACTATAATTTGCATGTCACAATGTGCCCTGGTCCTTTACATTGTGTTTTAATATTACAAATACATTAGGTTTTAATATTACCATTACATTGCGCGGTAAATACTGTAATCTTATATACATTGCAATATGTTTGGAGGCGGACATTTCAACGTTGCCGTAAGCTTGCAGTACCATTGCAGAAATAGTTTGCAACTATCACGCAATATTACAACCTTTCAATGTAAGGTTTACGTAACGTTTTCGCAGTGCTGCATGGGACATACCTAACGTTCAGAAGACATAATAAAAACTATATTTGATATATACTTTCGTTACTTAAGATGCTTAATATTATATATTAATGTAATATATTGATAATATTATTGTAATATTGTATAATAATATCTATTATTAATGATACAGTGCAATTTTATTACGATATTTTTGTAATATTACGTGCTATGTTATATCTTATATATAATACGTAAATATATACTCAAAACCAAATTTTAAACAACTGTGTTAGTTAACTAACTTGATTATTACGTCTTACTCATTTAATTCAACTGACGTTACTCCAAAAACCAATACCCACATAGCATCGTTAGTAGCACAAACGTTTTCGCAACGGGTTTTCCGAAATTAGCAACATTTCGTTACACGGCTAAAACGTGGTAGTAACGTAGCGGAAACGTTAAAATGTTCGCTTTTTAAGTTGCGATCCGACTTTATATATTTTTTATATAATATTTTTATATATTTCATTTATACATACATCTTTAAGATATAACAGTTTATAACCAACAAATCAAGTTGTCCCATTTTTGTCTTTAAGTGTCTCGATATTTATTTGATCGGCACAAATTTTACACGAACCGGATGAGCAGGACGAAGTATCAAATCTGCTTTAATTTTTAGATTCTTCAAAGAATCTACAGGCTCTATGTAGAAGTGGTGTATTAGAGATGCGATCATAGCCTTCATTTCGTACATAGCGAACCGTTGACCTGCCGAACGCGCAACGAATCAGAAAAACTGTTTTCTCATCAGAAAAACAGACAAATTACGTTATTTACCTATGCAATTCCGTGGTCCCGCACTGAACGGTAGGTAGCAATAAGGATGGCGATTTTGCATTTGGTCAGGCAAAAATCGATCCGGATCGAATACGTCCGGGTTTGGCCAGAAGTTAGCATCTCTATGGACGTCATAGATATTAAGGTGCAAATTTGTGTTAGCTGGAATCGTATACGACTCTATATAAGACAAAAAAAAAATATATATATATATATATATATGTGCGTGCACATTACAGTAATATGCAACGTACCGTAATTTATGACTTAAGTAATAACATGTTACAAATCCGTATACTCTATCACTAATACGTACGACATTGTATCTCTTCTGAATTAAGGCGGGATATGAAATGTACACTGGGATACAATCGCATCACTTCTTTTAAGCATCTTTCTAAATACGGTAGCTTTTGTAAGGACGCCATAATCAATTTCCCTTCAGTTTCTTTCATCACATCAGCAACTTCAGTCCTGACACGATCCTATATATATATTATTAAACGTTGTGTTATTTTGCTGATTTTATTATAAACGTTTAATATAAAGGTTTGGAAGTTTTTTGAGAATATCATGTTTATTTCCTTTTAAAAAATATATTCTTTTACTAAGTTTGTTAAACGTATATATAAAGAAAGATATGTCACAAATAAATAGCGATTTGACTAATATAAACTGTACTCTTCATTGATGTTGTTCACATTTCGCGCAGTTCTATTTATATATCACAAAGTACCTGAACATCCTTGTGCTCAGCTAGTAAGAGTAAAGCAAAACACACACCCATTGCCGTAGTATCGTGACCCTGTA